TTCAACTGACTGAACCATCCAAATGCCCCCAAAAGCATTTATTTTAATACACTTACTAGTCTTTGTATAAAATTGCTAATGGCAAAGCTTTTAACACACATACATAAATGCATACACATACATACACACACAAACACATAGTTAAGCAAACAACTGAATAATTAAGTGCAGTTTGTATTTGGAAGACCTTTTTTGGTTGTCACATATAGGAGTTATGTCCCTATTTTCATTTTTGTTTTAGCAAAAGAATATGTCTGAAGCCTTCCCTAGAAAGTACACTGACACTGTCAATGTTAGTTATGTCTGTGTTGGAACTGTACCCAACTAAGACCTCCAAAATGAAGAAAGCCCATATAATAATGCCTTCCAGTCACTGCATCGTATCATCCTGATTTCTCAGTCTCACTTTTCATTATCTGTTTTCTCATGTTTATGTATTATGTGCCATTTAAAATAGGGCAGACACTTCTATTTTTCACTATGATGCTGTACTTAACAGATTGCTGGCACATAAACACTCCTTAAACATTTGTGAGAGGGAAGGGTTGACAGTGCTCAATCAGCTCTCAAGAGGAATGTGGGTGAGGAGAAAGACAGAAAGGTATCTGTAACTGTGAAATAGAGCCCTTAGCCACCTATAATTTCCTAAATCTAATTTATTTATATTATTATAAATAACATAACCTGCTTTTCTTCCTCACCAATTATGGGTTGTACTTGGCCATCTTTGAAGATTTCTGAGTCCAGAGAGATTGCACTGACGGAAGACACGACTGTCCATTAAAGTCCTTTGGCTGGGTTTACACAGAAGTCTGGTAAGTTGTTGTTTAAGTGTAAGTTCTTCTTCCTGAATTCTGTCCATGCTTTTTCATATCGAAGTCTGATTTTTCTGGACAAGTAGAACTGAGAATGAGTACCTGAAGCATAGTAGATTCTTTAAGTTAATGTCATCCTGTAGAGTAAGTGAGGACAGCCAGCTAATCTTCCCTGGCAACAACCTCATGTATGCTAATAATGTTGTGTTAAAACACACTTCAGAAAACCAGCTGCTTTTAAGTGGGTTAAATATAAGCCTAGTAAAAATTTAAAATCTTTTTTTTCCTGAAAGCATAATGTAACCAGCAAGGTTCTCCAGGAAAACAGACCAATATATATGTGTGTACATATATACATGTACAAGCCTATGTATGTGTGTGTGTGTGTGTGTGTGTATGTACCCAGGTATATACACCTAAAATATATACCTATATATTTTAAGGGGTCTTATAATTTTAATAGTTTAATTATGGCTTTTGAGAAAAGTAAAAATTTTACCAAATTAAACATACATACCAATACTAAGACACAACCTATTTTCAGAAACTGGATCTTAAAATCAAGGTAGTTTCTTGTCGGTGCAGCATCAGATATGATGGGGAGAGGGAGGAGATGTGGTTTGAGTGGCCATCTCGAGAAGAATCTTGTAAGAACTAAAATTATCCAACTCTTAGATAGAAGCATAGGAGTCAATTTTCATGACCAAGAAGTAAAGCCATACCCATTAGCAGTCACTCCTCATTCCTCCCTTCTCCCAGCATCTGGCAATCACTAATCTACTTTTGCCTCTACGGTTTTGTTTATCTTTTCATCAGCTCATGAGCATTTGGGTTGTTTCCACTTTTTGGTTATTATGAATACTGCTGCTATGAATGTTTGCGTACAAGTTTGTTTGTGGACATACATTTTCAGTTCTCTTGGGTATATACCAAGGAGTGGAATGGCTGAGTCATGTGGTACCAAGTTTAACATTTTGAGGAACTGCTAAACTCTTCTCCAAAGTGGTTGGAATGTTTTACAATGCCACTGGCAATATATGAGGGTTCCAATTTGCCACATCTCATCAACACTTGTTATTGTATCTTTTTTAATTTATAGAAATTTTTAGCTACTTTAGTGTGAAGTAACATATTGTGATTTTGATTTGCATTTTTTCCCAGTGAGTAATAATGTTTACCACCCTTTCATTGCTTAGTGGCCATTGTAGGTCTTATTTGGAGAAATGTCTGTTGAGATATTTTGCACATTTTTTAATTGGGTTGTCTTTTTATCATTGAATTGTGAGTGTTCTTTAGGTATTCTTGATGTGAGTCCCTTATCAGATATATAATTTGCAAATGTTTTCTTTCAGTCTATGTGTTGTTGTTTTTTTTTTTTTTTTCACTTTCTTGGTAGTATCCTTTGAAATACAATGTTTTAATTATAATTATGGATGGGCCAATGAAGATATATCTAGAGTATGGTGCACTTGTGAGCAAGAAAGTACCTGATGCAAAGTCTGGCTAAGAAAGGCCTACTTTTACTCTTTTTCCTTTAATCATCCTGGTGCGTCACACTACACATCTGTGCTACTAGCTTGAAGCAATTTTTAATCCATTTATCATTTTTGTTGGCTCTATAAAGTTGGCCTAGTAATTGGCCATGCTGAGTTTGACACTTTTTATATAGCCAGCATCTAGAAATAACATCTTACAAATCAAGAAATGTGTATATTCTCAGAAATTTCTAAACAACACCTTTGTTGACTGGCAGTGGAAGATCCAAGTATAAGAACTTAGCTATTTGGGTTCTCCTTAAAAATTCAAGAAACATAAGCCATTCACTTTTCAGAGGATGGGGAGGAAAGGCATGGGTTTCCACCTAATTCTATATCATATAAAAATTAAGGTATTAGTATACTTCTTAGGATAGTGCTTCTAGAGTTCAACATGGTGCCTGGCACATAGTAGACTCTCATCAATATGTTTGTTCTAATGAATATGATTACATATACATTTGTTAGTGTATACACTGGTAGTGGGAAACTTGTAGAGTATCCATGTCCCTTGAAAATATCATTGGGGATATATTGGGGATGCTATACAATTTTAAAATTGATTGCATCAATCCAATCAAAGCAAAAATGAGAACCTAATGTCCAGCAAGAGGGAGTTTTCAAGCAAAGTATAATATAACCCATAATGAAAAACTGCATAAATTAAAATAAATTTTAACATCAACTCCATGTTTATTTTCTTCAAAACTTATTAATGGTATTTTATAAAATCAATAAGAAAAATATGAAAATACTATATAAAACATGGGAAAATTTTTAAAGTAATATTAGAATGGTAAGGCTTTTGTAAATATGACAAAATTCAGAAGCTTTAAATCTATTACATAAAAATTCAATGATCTATATAAAATATAAAGTTACTCTCTGGAAAAGCCCAACATAAGCATTTCAAAAACATAAATGAAACTGGGGAAAATACTTGCACATCTTTTTAAAGACAAGGCATAATTTTTCTGTTATGTAAAGAAATTCATATCAACAAGATATAAACAACCTACAAGAGAAAGGACAAAAATATGTTGTTTAAGGAAGATAATATACATGTGCATTTTAAACATATGAAAATGTTTATTATATTAAGAGAAATACAAATAAGAACTACACTGAGATGCAATTTTTTAGTTTGACAAAAATTAAAAAGTTTTATTAAAACACACTAATGTATTAGTGACAATGTGGAGGAACAGAAATTCTCCAAAGATCATTGAAATCATATAAATTGTTAAACATTTGTGGAAAACAATAGTACTTATCAAGATGATAAGTATACTGTCATTTGACCCAACAATTTTGTTTCTAAAGAATTTATTCTCCAGATATTTTCAGCCCTGTAAGAAATTACATATGTACAATATTTTATATTGCAGCATTGATTGTAATAATAAAGGAATAAAAGCAATATAAATATTTATTAATAGAGGATTACTTAAACAAATTATGGTACATAAATCCATACAATGATAATCAATGGAGCCATTAAAATAATTGAGGAAGTTCTTCGTAAACTGATCTGTAAAACTCTCTAAGATATATTGCTGGGTGAAAAAAAAATCAAGGCACAGGACAATACATATAATATTCTGCCTTCATATATAAGTATATTAGGAGAAGAATACATATGTGTATGCACAGAATATCACTGGGAGTAATATAAGATATTCATAATATTGGTTGTCTCTAAGGGAAATGATATGTGTAGCCTAGAAAAGAGATTGGAATTTTAAACCATATGAATTCATTATATTTAATAATATGTAAATAAAACTTAGCTACAGAAAAAGTTTACACAAGATTATGTGACATATCATTCCAATTTTTAAGAAACAAATTAATTAACATAAATTAGCTAACTCTGTACACTGAGAAGGCCTGGAACTGATGTCAATAACAAAGAACATACTCAGAGCCCATATTTTGGTTTCGAAATTCAATCCTCCAGTAAAAGAAACCAGAGTTGCTTGGAAAAATGGCTGATCCTGGTACTGGGCCAGAGAAGATAAAAGATGAATGTGGACTCGCTGGTAGTACCAGAAGTGCTCCAAAAAATTGAAAGAATAGACACGTTAAAGGAACACAGGATCCAACCTAAAAGAGCACCCTGTGACCAAAACTGGAACAACTTGAGCAATGAAATGAATAATGTAATATTGGATTACAAAGCAAAATATAAAATAAATATCCATGAATCTGCACTGACTTATAAACAAATGATTGAATAAATAAGTAAATGGAGAGGAGATGAATCCTCCTTAAAAAATAATTCCAAAATAATATATAGAGATAATCCTTTCTCCAGGAGTGAAGCTTAATCCCACCCTGGTCCTAAGGGTAAGCTAGAGTAGACTTAGTGACTCTTCTAAAAGAATAGAATAGGGAAAAGAGGAAATAACTTTCTAGTGGAGAAACTGAGCAGACACTACCTTAACCAAGTCATCAAGATGGACATCATCAGTGATGTCAAGTAGGTATGTACTTCCTGATGTCATGTGATGAGAAGAACACTTTATATCTTTGATGTTTTTCCACAAATCCTTAACCCAAGGCCAGTCATGAGAAAACTGTCAGACAAATACAGATTAGGGGACATTCAACTAGATAGTACTAATCCTCAACACTGTGAAGGTCATTTAAACAAGGAAAGACAAACTCACAGACTAGAGGAGGCTGGGAAACATGTATGCAGTGTGGTACCTTAATAAGATCCTGGAACATAAACTAGACATTAATGGAATATCTGGTAAAATCCAAATAAAGTCTGGAGTTCAGTTCATAGTAATGCACCAATTTTGGTCATTTCAACTGGAAAAGAGAGCTCAGAGGCTTCAGTCTGTGTATTTCAGGAGATTATTTTCTAGTCATAATTGTGCCTGGATAGAACAAGGAAAAAGACTCCAATATTAGCCTTCTCTTCTCATTGCCTTCCTTTCTCCACTGTTTTTACCAATTCTTCCATAGTGGTTTCAACTCATTTCTCCAGATGAGGTGATAAGAGGAATAAGGATAGCATTGTTCAGAGTGGGCAGTTCAGGCTCTCTGACTGAGAAAAGCATGGAGGAAGGACAGTCCCTAATCAAATGTAGTGAAAATGGGGTAGTTTCTTCACCATTGGTTCCTTCCCTGAAACATCTACTCGTGGATGGATAGGCATGCATATATAGATTAATTAATGAATGAGAAAACTGGAAAATGGCCGAAGTTTACTTTTAAGAAGTAGGTCACATCCATAACTATTTCTGTAGAAACCATATAGATAAAGGGAAAAACAATATACTTTAAAAAATAGATAAATAAAAACCCCAAACCAGAAAGCCAATGAGAAGTTGATATTTTAAGAAATTTAATTATCTTAAAAGAGAATTAGTAAATCACTGAAAATTCTACATTAGGTTCATGTTATGTGCAGAAAGCAATCTTCAGTGCTCCCAATCTGCTATTAAAGATAAGGCTAATGCAATTTTCATTTGAGGCTTAGCTATGCTTGAAATAGAATACTTTCCTCAACTTTTAACATTCCATCTATGAAAAAGCAAATTAAAATACCTCAATCTACTGGTACCTTTTATATAACCTTTTCCTTGCATTATTTTTTACATCTTTAAAGGCATAATTGCAGGCAGCTTAACATAACCAAACTATACATGAAACTTTTCTAATATGTTTGCTTACCTCAAATAATTTGGTCTTATTAGTGATGCAGCTATAAACATTTGTATGAATTGTATTTGTACTTCCAGTAAATTGGTCTCATTCACATAAACAGTCCATATACTTCCATTTTTTTTTTTTCATAAAAGATATCTTAAAAGGTAATTTCTTCCCCCTTTCTTTCCTTCAGGATTTCTGCTCTAAAATTCAGTCGTGGTTGGTGAGATGGAACCTAACACAGATTGCTTTTTTTCTCCTCCGAAAACAAATTTTCAAGTGGCCTCAGAACAACAGAGAAGTGAGTTGTTGGATATAAGAAACTAAGAAAAAAGGAGAAAAAAAAAACAATCTCTGACAGCTGACAACTGTTAGTTGGCCTCCAAAAGCTAGGTTGTAGTGTTGCTTCCTGAACATAAATCATTTCACAGAATATCACCATCAGATAAGGTTATTTTGTGACCTTGATGGAACAAGACAAAAATAAGGACAAGATGCTACCACATTCTCCTCTCAAAGCCAACGTGAGTGACTAATGCTCTTTGACCAGCGACAGCCTGCTTTATCCCTCCCCTCTTCTGAATTAAAATGATTAATGTACTCGGTAACGAAATAGCCTCCATTCTCTTTCCTTTTTCTAAAGTTGAAGTATAGTTGACATACAATGTTATATTCATTTTAGGTGTACCACATAAAGATTCAACAATTCTGTATATTAAGCTATGTTCACTGTGATAAGAGCCGCTACCATCTGTCACCATACAACATTATTACAATTTATGGACTTATATTCCCCATGACTTATTTATTTTATAACTGAAAGTTTGTACCACTTAATCCCCTTCATCTGTTTGGCCTCAACCACACACCCTCCCCCCACAAGCTTTGGCAACCACCACTTTGTTCTCTGTATTTATGACTCTGTTTGGTTTTTGTTGTTTGTTCATTTGTTTGCTTTTTAGATTCCACACACAAGTGAAATCATATACAATTGGTCTTTCTCTGACGACTTGTTTCACTTAGCCTAATACTCTCTAGGTCCATCCATGTTGTCACAGTTGTCAAGATCTCATTCTTTTTATAGTTACTAGTATCCCATTGTACATCTTCTTTATCTGTTCATCTATCAATGGACACTTAGGATGCTTCAATATCTTGGCTATTATAAGTAATGCTGCAATAAAATAGGGATGCATATATCTTTACAAATGAGTGTTTTTGTTTCCTTTGGGTAAATACTTAGTAGTGGAATTACTGGTTTGTATGGTATTTCTATTTTTTAACTTTCTGAGGAACCTCCATACTGTTTTCCACAATGGCTACACCAATTTACATTTCCACCAACAGTGCACAAGTGTTCCCTTTGCTCCACATCCTCACCAACACTTTTTATTTCTTGTCTATTTGATATTAGCTATTCTGAGAGTGTAAGGTGATATCTCATTGTGGTTTTATTTTCATTTCCCTAATAATTAGTGATTCATGTGTCTGTTGGCCATCTGTATATCTTCCTTGGAAAAATGTCTGTTCAGTCCTCTGCCCATTTTTAAATGAGATTATTTGGGTTTTGGTGTTGAGTTGTATAAGTTCTTAATATATTTTGGATATTAATCCCTTATTGGATACGTCATATGCAGTAGGTTGCTTTGTTGTACAAAAGCTTTTTATTTTGATGTGGTCCAATAGTTTGTGTTTGCTTTTGCTTGCCTGAGGAGACATATCCAGAAAAATGTTGCTAAGGCTGATGTCCGTGAGATAGCTGCCTATGCTTTCTTTAAGGAGTTTTATGGTTTCAGGTCTCACATTTAGGTGTTTAATCCATTTTGAGTTTATTTCTGTGTATGGTGTAAGAAAGTAGCCGCCACTTCCTGATAATTCAATCAAAAACAGACTTCCAAATCACCTGGTATAAACCTAAACCCCATACATGAACATTCTGGTTACATTTCCCTAAGATTATTTTCCTCATAGAATACAGTTTTCCTTGCTGCAGCAAGTTAATAAACCTACATTTGTTTGACTACAGGTGTGTTCTTGGTGGTCTTTGGGCACCAGACTTTAACAAAACAAACAAAAGCTGTGGAAAAATTATTAGTGGATAAACGATCTTGTCACCGTGGTTGTTTGGCAGGGGTGGGGTGGGTTGGAAGGTGCCATGCATGTGTATGTTGGCCATGGTGGGAGAAAGAGCAGAAGAAAGCTATATACCATAGGTTATATGAGAGGTTGAGAGACTAGTTTTGCTCTATTTTTCTTTCCCATATTGTCTTGCCTGATTTTCTTATTGCCCTTATTCCCAATATTATCCCTTCATTCTGCTTTCACTATGAATCACAAAATGAAGCCCAACAGCATTGTTGCCGTTGTTCAGGTCCTTTAATAAATAACACCCCTCTCTTTGCCATCTCATTCTGACCCAAGTGAGAAGCGTGCAGAAGACAAAAGGATATCAAAAGAGGAGTTTTGTTACTGCTAAGAGCTAGATTAGAGGTTGTGACTGAAGTTTATGACCAGATTGGTTTGCTAATGCTCTCTGGTGACCCTCCCAGCCTAGATCTTAAGGCACTTGAACTGAGGAAAACTTTGGTTTTCAGGGCAGACATAACTACTGAGGATTTCTTCTTTGTACTACTAATGCAAAATGAAAAAAAATGAAGAAGAGAGGCCAAGTTCACACTGCCTACAAATCGTCTCCACTCAGTTAGGAAACACGGACCATTGGTGTCACCCAATTATCCAATAGCTTATTCCAGAAGAGCTTCTTTAGTGGAATTTCAAGTGCATAGAAAACATGTGTAGTGGATTATAATAATACATACCCCTAATACTCTCCAGTGATTTTTCTTCATAGAATTCACTGAGTTTATTCATGAAACCTGCGATCGTACATGACTGTCTCTATCTTCCTTGGGAAGGAAAAGGACAGCCTCATTTCCATCTTCATGTAGCCACTCCTCCCGAATCAACCATTGTTCTTTTGTGGACATCCTTTGTACCTCTGATGGTCAGTATAGATTTTGCCCCCCAGAAGACATTGAAATGGATGAGAACAGTGTGCTTAATTAATTGAAGCTGTATTTGAAACTGTATTTGAAGCTGTATGTTACACTGTATTTGAAACTGAAAATTCAATCCCTAGTCTAATTATGTCTAGCTACACTGTCTTAATAAAGGTTATCAGGGGCTCTGCAGTGATATAAAATGACAATATTAACATACTCTAATAACAAAATACAACATCTAGATGTCCCAAGGTTAAATATAAACTCCTCTCATTACTGAATTTCTGGGAAAATTTAAATTCAAATATAATGCCTCTGTGATTAAGTGCACAGACTCTGAACCAGATCACCTGACTTCAAATCTCAGTTCTTACACTTACTTGGTTTGTGATCCTGTGAAAGTTCACTAACCACCCTCTGTCTCAGTTTTTTCATCTGACAAATGGGAATGTGATAAGACTTACAGAGTTGTGAAAATTAAGTGAATTAATATTTATAAAGCTTTTAGAAATATCTCTGGCAGATAAGTGTTTTATAAAAATTATTGTTTACTACTGTACTTGTAACTTAAAAATTATATTGAAGTCAAAGAGTCACCCCTACATCCCTCAATTTCTTATTCTGCTCAGTATGAGCTAATATGTTCTCCATCTTCAGAAGCTTAAGGAGATCCATTCATTGGTTATCCATTCAGTGTCTATCTATAGTTATTTTTATTAAAAAAGCTATTGCTTCTGGCTTAAAGGGCTATAGTATCTCTGAAGTTAACTCATTCCAACCTGATACGTCATCTTTGTTATCAGTTTTATTGACCTATAATTTACAAACAATAAAACTCACCAATTTTCAGTGTATAGTTTGAAGAATTCTGAGAACTGTTTATAGTCTTGTAACCACCACCACAACCATGAAATAGACATTTCCATCACCCCAAAAAGTGCCTTTGTGCCCCCTTTTTTGCCAGTATCTTCTGTTCAACCCCTCACTCCTTGAAGCTGCCAATCTTCTGTGTATTACTATAGCATTGCCTATTCTAGAATTTTACATAAATGGAATCACACATCATATAGTTTTTCTCTCTGGCTTCTTTCATTTAGCAAAATGCTTTTGAGATTCATCCGTTTTCTTGCATGTCTCAGCAGTTCATTTATTCTTATGAAGTAGTATTTCATCATATGGATATACCAATCTTTTAAACTCCATTAAAAAAAGAGGAAAATGATAGATTTTTTTCAGGCAATTGGGATAAAAGGTAGTCAAAAGATACTCAAAAATCCTTTCTGGCTGTTCTGAGCACTGAGGAGATCAATATTTGTCATACTCATAAACCTTTTATAAAGATAAATATCTTGTCCATAATATCTACATTTTTGCCTGCATTAAAATATACCCTGATCTTGTACAGTATGTCCATCTTTTACTACTTATTCAAAAGCCTTATGCCTTGACTCCTCGCTGAACCAACTACGGGTTCCTTATTTCTACAGATGCAGTTCTCTCTGTCAGAAATTGCTTTACCTTCTTTGTCAGCATCATGTTTATAATTCCACTATATCACTCACTCAATGGTGATTTATAAACAAATTCAGATATGTCTCTATTATGGAAAAAGATAGTAGTATTCAACTTTGTTTCCCCAATGGTAAGTTTAATGCTCAACACCAGTGTAGATATTCAATAAATGTTTGTTTGATGAAAGAAAATGAATAAATGAGTGCATTAAATGTGTCCTCCTGTTGATACATGTCAGTCACAGGTAATATAAGTATGTGAACACAACTCACTGTTCTAAGTTGCCTAGAAATCTGCTTCTTTGTCCCCCATCAGGTTTTGAAACAGGGAACAGGGAAATCTGTTAATGCTTGGATAAATCTTGCTGAATTTTGAGGAAACAACTGCTATCCACTGAAAAGTGCACTTAATTATTCACAGTACATAGGGGTTCCTGTGACATGACTAGCAACAAGCTCCTGGCCCTTCAGACGGGAAGGATGCATTCGTAATTAAACCGTGACCCATGCTGTCTCCTGCTGCCAGATTTCCTTGAGTAGTCACTGGAGATGAAATTCTAATTATGACATTTGAAGAAATAAAATTCTCCAGGGAAAGCAGCCTCCAAAGACAGACTGTATGTCGACAGCTGTTGTGGAAATTACTTATTTTAACCTTTGCCATAAAAATTGTAAAACCGATCCAGCTCCTTCTCTGTGGCAGACATTTTGGGAGATGGATTTGTAGGTGCGTTTTGAGGATTAGCCTAAAGCCAAGATAGCATCATTTTGCAACAGAAGTTCCATTAAAGTTTCTTAAATTTCAGTGAACTTCTGTTCAGGAAGTCCTTTTAAATTCTGATGAGCTGACATTTGAATGTTTCTGTAGCAGATGGCTATCAGCTAAAAGAAATGCACAATATTTTATTCTCACTAGCTGAAACCAAATTTGAAGGATATGATAGATTTTTTCTAATTAAAACTCTTAGAAGCTTGGGTAATAGATTTTATATACTTAAAAAAAAAAATGAAAAATCAGACTGCCTTGGACTGAAACTCAAGTTTCCAGGTGTAAGGTTTTTTTGTTTTAAAACATACAAACAGAAGCATGGTTCTCCAAGATACGTATACTATAGCCATTTAGAACAACATATTTAAAAATCACTGCACTTAATCAAA